TGTAACCAACAGGATCGCGAAAGTATTGTGTGATGTAGCTACCTATCCCCCTGGTTGCTCAGTGCCAATGAGATAAAATTTTGCATTGCTCGCCAAGAATGGGCGGCATTTGAGAAGGAATGCGATCTCAAGCGATCTACCGGTTTTGTTGAGTACCGAACTGCAGCGAGACCAGCACGTGCCCCGTTCACTTGGAGGTGGCATGATAATACCCACAATATGAAAACATATGAGAAAACGTTGCTAGAACATGGAATGTTCGTCGTATGCTTAAAAATGGCTGTGAGGTCCCTCGCTGGTTCATGATGTACAACTTTTTTTTTAAGGGAACAGCATCCTACAACCCAAATCATTACATGTACCAGTGAACCTGCTTAAGCACAAACACAAAATAAAGAATTGAATTTGTAATTTTGAGTGAACCTAATCATTTATCAATCAATTGAAAAGACAATTGAAGTTTTTCAGCAGATGGCGTGTATCTCCAGAGGTATCCACACGGACTGACATTCCAAATTACCGAACAGAAAGTCCCACGCATCATTCATAGCTGTGATTTGAATAGTTGACTATATCTGGCGGGTCCGAATTCTTGTCTTGGCCGCGTTCCGAAACTACGAATAATGAATTACAATTCGTTTGACAGCACAGATCCAAACTCGATAGTTCCGTGATATCCAAATTGTTGGAGCAAAGCTGAGGTACGCGAGTTGGCCTGAGATAACGAGCTTTAGTCTGCTGTGAAAAAACAGGATCCAAGCGCGTACTGGATCTGCTCACTGGAGAAACGTCAAGCAAAAACTTGCACTCCATGCTGATCCGTCCACGCAACATCAGCGCATATTCATGTAAATGTTTTAATGTGGAAACCAAATAGACCAGGGCTCCTCGAGATGAACTATGCCAACTTCAACGCCCAAGACATCGGTATGGCTGAAATCAAGAAGGTACAGTATGATCCACTTCACAATAACATGACGGTCCGCCGGACTCTCACGCATTGAACAAGTAAAATTCAAAAATCTACGGGTCAACCATCTACGGAACTACTGTACAGTGCTCTTTACTTCAATTCTGTTCGTTAAGAGTATGATTCATTCATCTGTTTCAAGGTGAATAAATCAGGAGTGTTTAATTCCTAAAAGTCAAATTGAAAAACCAAGCTTCTCCGTCATATTCGTCGTCATTTGATGTTGATAACTGCCGATTGATGCTACCAATAATCTGGGTAAAGAGGTAGACTGAAGATTGGCACATCTTCAATTCTTCGACTGCATGAAATTCTTCGAATTCATGGTCTACAGGAAAAATCAGGGGACTTCAAACATTCCAACTTTCAACAAAATGACTGCATAAACCGTCTGACTGGACCTATGCAAGCATGCAGTCACAGGTTCCGCACAGGAATGGCAATGTCATTTCGAAATAATTCCGTAACGTTTCGCATGGATTGACATAAATCTAGAGGGACTACAGCGCAATAACGCATAGCCCCTCGACGTAGGAAAAAAAGAACATTCTCTTATTCGAAGAGACGATCAAGAGACTCAAAGCAATTGCGACTCAGGCGTAATGCATCCCAGAGATATTCTCTAGTCTCAGTGTCATGATTCACGGGCAACTTCAAGCATAAGTTACACGAAAAGAAAGAACTGGGAACACATATGATATTTCTTCTTTTCATCCTGCGTAAGGAAATTCCTTACAATTTTAATTTCACGCAAAAAGAATTCAGTTTAACGGAAATAATCGTACACACGAACACAGGGATCATCAATCATGTGGGAGCTACTCCTGATTCTCTTGAATGGTGTTGATACCACGGCGCGCCGCCATGGCACTTTTACCTCGCGACATCTAAGTTGCATGGAATGAACAACTGTTAATGACATCTACAGGATAAAAATGAAACATTACTTCCCCGTTTCCACAGTCGGATACAGCAACGCATCACTTCGACTACTCAGGTTGGCCCATTCAGGCTAGGGAAACACCTGAACTGTACGGCATGGGCAATTAGAGGTGCTGATTACGCATTCTTGCGGGGATCGCTTTCTGAATTTCTGAAGGAACTAACCATTAGTTTTATGTTCTTACTCATATTCTTTTCTAAGTAGGACCTCGCATTTTTTCTACCTTACCACTCACCGGAATACACTGGCATAACATAGTCCCAAATCAAATTAACTTTTCTTTAAAAATAATTTAAGTAATGTAATTTTACACCCAGAAACCCAATGCTGCCCAGCAAATGACGCGAGGACTGAATTCGACCTGCAGACACTCTTCACCCATCCGCAGTCCCTTTATTCTGTAATTTTCATTGAGGCAGCGTTCACTATTCAAAATACAGTACTGTACTGTATTTATTGAAAGATAAATCTAAACAATTCAAATGTTGTCCCACCCTAAGGAAATTCTATGAGACTAAGCTGGTGTAGCACTCAAGCATAGCAATGGGTGGCACTTAGTTAATTTTGAAATTTTTAAGTTGAAATGGGAACATTTTGAACATTAACAATTATTGTGTATACTGGGGTCTGCAAGAACTCTCCACCTTTGCAACATGGCCCTTGGCCACAAAAAATGTACAGTATTAATGTGGCACTTGTCTACATCTGAGTTGGGCAGAACTCCTAACTTAAGATACATAAACTAGCAATGAAATACATTAGCATGATACAACGCAAAATTAAAGCGTGAAATGCTGGAGGGTGATCCATTCCCACGTGGCTCTACTCCCCAATGTTTTGAATTAAATAATGCTGTAGATACCATGCAGGAAATCAATCAAATGAAAGCACCACAGATAGATTTCGAAATACCATTGCCATCCGTGATGTCCGGCACTTCTTTGATTATATTTAATATTTTGAGTATCAAATCATATTTTAAATTCCACTGATATTTTCTGTAGACCTTGAATTTGAAGAATTCCAACGAGTCGAATAATTGAAGATGCACCAACCTTCAATCTTTGCCGTGACTGACATACCCGTAACCCAGATTACTTGAGCCCCAATCGCCAATTATCAACGTCAAATGACAACGAATATGATGCAGAAGTGCTAAGGTCAATCGTTTGGTCTTTCGATTGGACTGCCATGGACGAAACACCGCACGAAGTCATTCATGGTCATGCTATACTCATAATAGTCATCTATCGCGCTGTTCGTGTCTTAGAAGCCGTATATGTCAGCGGATCTGAATTTCCGTAGTAAATTTCTGCAATTTATTTTTACAATAGGATAATGACGCTTTAATAATAAATTTCTGCTTTGCAGACGCAGTGAAAACGCCTGATTTTTACTCTGATTAAGATATGATTATTCAGAATTCTTCGTACAATACTGTATCACTAAAATTGGGGCTTACAAATTGGTAATACTGAATGCAAGCATGCACATCTCCAACAGTGCGTATTTAGAATTAGAACGTAACTTGACAAAGGAAAATGCGCTCGCTTTCGATAGCTTAATTTGCAATCTTTTCTTTGCATATTTAAGCTTGATGATTAAATTGCAGATATGGTACATTCTATCGGAATATGTCAATATTAGATGTTTTCCAATATTTTGTTCGTATTTTGGTCGAGTTCTCTTGAGAAAGCAAGCGCCACACTTCCAAGGCAGCACTCCTAGAATGGAAGAAAAATGAAATGAAACGAAGACTAAAAAAGCACTAAAGTGCCTGCGTTTTTTACATTTACGTTTTTTTGTTCGGCGAGAGATCTCACCGTCATGTCATTGGCAAGAACAATTAGTGCGGTTTTTTTCTTCGGGGTGATTTCGTGCACATTTTTTGAGAATCTTGGACAGTGTACAGTAGTTAGTTCATCCTGAGGAACGTCGACCGATCTAAATTCTCAGCAGATCACATCTGGAATGTGCAAAGGAATATGAACTGATTATCGAAACAATCATATTGTAATTATATTTAAAAGATGTTATACTGTACTGTATTTGCCTGTTCTCGTGGAGAAGATTCGGTGAAGATCCAGTTGAACTGTTACACGAAAACTGGGGGTGCACGAGATCAACTTGCCATAGCTTTGTTGTTACGAGATGGACATACAGTAGTTTCTAGACTTACAAAGTTTACAACATAAGAAAGAATCTTCTCAGATCCTTCAAAAAGATATATGTGGTTTGTGTTTGTCCTGGAATTCATAAAGTCTGAGTTCCGCAAGTTCAAGTCGGACCAGACGGCGGCCTAGGGGGGAATAAATTGGAGTTATGATACGGCTGGTTGTTGCAATAGCTCTATACTTCGACAATTTTTCTGTGGAAGTTTTGGCTCATAAAACAATCAAAATTTATGTATGTTGCAATCTTATATTTTCGAATAATTTATTTTACAATGAAAAAAATTGGTAACTCTCGAAAAAGCTCTCAACTTGATTCATTGTGATGAATAATGATCTCGATCGTAAGTCCCCGCACGGAAAGATACATCGCCTCAGTCTTGCCGTTCCGTGGATGCCGGTTCGTATGCTACCCCTCAGTTGCATGCCGGTTGGCCCCTGGGTTAGATGTCCCGGACTGAGCGCGGGTGATCCACGACTATTTGCTTGGTGGCTACGGCGAGATTCCAGCTGGGAATTTGATTGTAAATGTGATATATACTGTATGTCCAGCGTAGATACAGTTTAATCCAATTATTTCAACGTGAAGTGTACAATTAAAACCAGAATTGAGGTGCAAGAATACGTTACATGTACAGTGTGGGAGTATTGTATCTGATTGATTCAAAACTGAGGAAGTGCTAACAAGCCATAATCCAAGGTGTGATCTACTTCGAATATGTCATGTTATCTTACCCGTGCGGATTTTGCTTCGAGTATACTGTTATTCCACCTGTAGTACCGTGATGTGAAAGGACGCAGTAATTGATACGCTATTCGAAAGGCTATTGTCTTATCAATTAGCTACATCGTCTTTTTCAGTTATTTGTTGATGAAATCCAAATTATGTGCCGTTTGCCTAATAGTGTTCACGCTGGTGACTTTTCTTCCAGATTCTCTTCTTGATTAGAATTACCATGTGAAAGTTCAGCAGGGAGAGACTCGTTTCGAATTGTTGGGTGCGAGAGAAACTGGCTGGTCCGTGGTCTGAGAAGTCGTTCTCATTGGAAAGCAATTGGGATTCAAATGGTGAACGCGAGGAGAGGAGCGTGGATTGTGAGCAACGGGTCGGGAAGTCCGTTGGTGTGCCGATGGCCTGTAGTGGGTCGTTGCCTGGTCTCCAATGAAAGAACAGGCTGGCGGAGAGAATAGCCACCAGAAAGAGGTGGCCTCATCGTCAGGCCAAAAGCCACGAACAGCTGCGACTAGCGCTGAAACAAATTTCGGAGAATACGAAGACAACGAGTGGGACGTAGGGATCGGAAATTTGATCGACGATCTTGATGCCGACATCGAGAAAAGTGCGGCGGAAGTGAGTGACGGGAATAATCTGGAGGAGGTTTCCGGGATGCCGGCCAGTGACACCGGCCTCTCATCCTCTGGGGCGACACGCGGCGGCAAATTACCGCCAACAAATTCTCCCGTTGTTGCTTCGCCGAATGTGCAGCATTCCGCTACAGTTGAAAAAGGTCTCAAAATGAAAATTAAACGTACGAAGCCGGCCAGCGGGTCGAGAAGTGCTGAAAAGCACGAAATTGTAAAACCAGTGGATCCGGAGTCCAACGGGAAACGTTCTCAGGCTCCTGTGGGTGTGCGTAAAGATAAAGACAAAGACGTGAATTCTAGTGAAGTGATCGTTAAATCTGAAAACCAAGATTTCGCGGCGAATGATGTCTGGGGTTGTTCATCCGCTGCTTTGTCGAACCAGGCTTCTTCCAACGCTGGCAGCGGCCCTACACCCAAGAAAAAACCGAAGCTGGAGCAAGACTCCGAAGTTGATGCATCATCGTCCGAGTCGTCCCCATCCGTCCCTGAACCACGGGTAAGCATTTACCTCCCTCCCCTCTTGTTAAGAATTTCCCCTTGTCGGTTGAATGAAAGGAGCTTCGTGTCGAATGAAATGTCTTTCCCGGGTCAGATTGTTTGTTATCCTTTTGAGAAGGCTTTTCGCGCTCTCCTGCGTTGCGGGCGGAGAGAAGGTGCATGCACATGCTGTCCCTACTCTCGCTCTTCTCTCTGTTGTATTTCGATGTGCAAAGGAGCATGCGAAAACCAGATTTTTGTAAGATCCAGGTACTGTGCAGTGATAGCAAAATTAGTTCGTCGTATCTTCAGCAAAAAAAAAAGTCGCAACTTCCATACTAGAGAATTTTAGCCCCTCAGAATCGGGATGCGTTGCTGACATATTTTCCTCTGCACGTTTTTACTGCATGTTTCAACACATGATAGACTTGTGCGTATCTTTTATTTTCGGATTACAGTACTATATTCGAAATTAATCATGCCTTTTTGATGGAGGTCCTCTAGTAATGAATAAAAAAATCTAACCTTAGATTTTGAGTTAAATGGTTTTGAGTCCTAGATAGATCTGTCCGCATAGGACGTGGATGAAATTACCATACCACGAATTTGAAGCAGCTATGATTGCAGTTGAAGCACGTGGCCATCCGGTAATTTATCAAGTCCTCTTGTACTTCTCATTGTTCGGACTCGAAGTGCCTTCACTCATTCTTTTCGTCACTAGGCTGAACCAAGATATTTCCGCAATCGTGTGCAATTTCATCAAACTCCCAACTGATCGTGTATTTCCTGAGAAATTGAATGCTTTTCAGGGAAGATGAGAATCTGAGTACAGTACTGCACTGTGTTTCTTGAACGCAGAAATTTTTAGCTTTAGGTCAGGTTATACAGGCGAAGAGGTGCTATCATACGAACTTTTCGAGTATAGTACAGTACTGTATAAATTCGATTGATGGCCGCTTGAGAATCAGCAGTTTTGAAAGGAAATCCATCCTTCTCAGAAGCAGAAAGTTCATTATTTTCCAGAAACCACTTCAGTTTTCGTAAATATTTTTATCGTCTTGAGAAAATGCCGCTTGTGATCTGATAAATGTTCTACATTTTCTCCAATACTCTGAATGCTTTGTTCTTGCTCAGAATCAGTTCGGAGTGCAGTCCCGAGTCCAAGATCGCTTGTATGTGTTGAGGTGGACTCTCACCGACGAAACCCAGGGGGCCGCAAACAATTTCTTCTGGTGAACCTCTGCACTCCACAGGATGGTTAGAGACTTGTATGGGAACAAAACAATTCGTCATACCGAAAAAATCCTTGTAGACAAGAGCATTGTAGTCTAACTGTACTGTATCACGTTTTTTGTGCTTGGGAAGCCTTCGTTTCCCAATCTTTGTTAAATGTTAATGGAAAGGAATCCACCGTTACTTATGAAAGGCGGAACGAATAATTGTTTCGCATTAAGCGATAGAAGGAGTTTTGAGGACCAATTAAGAAGTAAAAAAATGAAATTCACCCGTAGTTCGGCGTCTTCAATAAAATGACGCAGGGAGCAGGGACATGTCAGCCCCGAGTCAGCGCGCGAGATTTTGTACCCGTGGGAGGTAACGCAACAGCTGCACGACGTCTCTGTAGTGAAGTCCTTCCCTTGTTTTTCTACCCAGTGCTTAAATTTTTTAATTTTTTGTTCAGATACTGTAGTTCCGAACCCCGTATTCTTCACGAATAGGGGACTCGTTCAGTAATCCCGTGTGATGTCTGCTCTCTAGGCAACTTCAGACGCGTGTGTCGGAACCAGTGTTGGCACCGTAACGGAGCCGGATTGCCTCGGACCTTGCGAGCCGGGTACTTCAGTGATCCTTGAAGGAATCGTTTGGCAGGAAACTGATACTGGTGAGTTCACTTGTTTCCCAGCTCCTCGCTCCTACTTCGCGGAGGAATCGTTTCGCAATACTATACAGGTGTACTCCAGCCATCGACATTTTTTCTGGCCACTGAAGACCTTGCAGTGCAGCTGCCGAGTTTCTCAAGCTGTGTGCAATGGCCTTCCGAGGGGTCTCATGTTTGCTCCAGGGCAACAGAAGACCAAAAATTGAATAGCATTAATCGTTGAAAAATATATATTGTAATGTACCTGTGATGCATATACAGTACCGTGCAAGAACTTGGATCTAAATTGCTCAGAACAAAAGTCGATGAAGGCGTACTTTTGAAAATGTTTGGACCGAAATTCATAATTTTGAAGCCGTGAAGTACAGTACTGTGCTTAAAGGCTCCGTCAATGTATAGAAATGATTCGGCGAAGGCAAATGCTTCGAGAAACTGTTGGGACTGTTAAATAAACTGCATGAGCAGCTCTTCATTAACAATATGTGTACTTCAGACTAGCTAAAGTACAACGGGTTTTTTCAGTTATGGATTTTGTAGGGGGGCTAACTTATTTTGGAATTAGATACTGTACTATCGCTTAACGCCCCGGAAGCTATTGACTTTGAAAAAGCAGATTTATATTTGCAGTGTGAAGGAGGTTGTGTAGAAGTGTCATACTTACGCGTATTTTGTTTTTACTGACCCCGTCGAGTTTTGGGAAAGGAGCAAGGTTTCCCTATTGTGGCATAGGAAATTAATTCTGAAAACTAGTTTTATTGTGTTCCCAAAATAAATACGGTACCCGCATACTACTTTATATAACTTTTAATGAGACAATTCTGTTTTGATACGACTGTCCTGAGCTCAATTTAGAATCTCGTCGTTTCCTGAGCTGTTGCTGTGTTTGTTGTTGCGGTTACACTAGTCTCGACGGCTCTCTTTCTGTTTTATCGCATGAATAACCTGGTGTAATGCTTCATTGCCTCTTTTCGTTTGCGTTTCGTATATCTCGTTGATATTCAATGTCGTGTTGGCTATTGAATAACGAGATATTTTTTATGTTTTTATTGATGAGCGGAGAGCGTGCCGCAAGAATCTTCACACTATCAATCATGGACGTTCGGTACCCTCCGTGCTAGTAGGAATGAACTGACCAGCCGACGGAATTCCGGGGCTTGGAGTGTCCTTCCTTCGTATGCTTGCGTGGATTAGGTTCTTCAATTACACGTTCTTCCCACGCTAAGCGCCCCGCTCGTTTGTGGACTTGATAGAAAGCTCGTTCATACATGCGAAGCAGATGGGGAGGACGCGCCGAAAGGCGGGAGTCATCTTCCTCCGGTTGTGAAATTACATACCGCATTCAGTCGATAATAAGCTCACAAATTTCGATTGTGATGCACGAAAACAGAAAGCTTCTCGAAACCTTGTTGGTAATGAAGTACAGTACAGTATTCGGTAATTGAGTAGTCCAAAATTTGGTCCCATTCAAATGATCATAGATGCCTCGTGAACCCCTTGAACATTTGAGGTTGAAGCATTATATGCTATGACTGAAGCCGCCAACGGAACGAAACTGGTAACTCGAATTGCGAATGCGAGAGAGCAGTTGTTTTCTTCGATAATTTTCCTTAATTTAAAGTGCTGTGTTACGGGAAAAATATTAACGTGAGCTATGTTTTCTTTATTTTGTAATGGCGATGAAATTAATACGAGGAAATGACCGTAAATATTGTCCTTAATGGCTTACTGCGAAGTTCGTTGCACATTTTGAGGTCAGTGGTAGCTTGTGACCTTTTCTGAGTTCTAGATGCTCGCGTTGGTGCTCTACAATGTCGAGGTGCACGAGCGTATATAATTAATCAGTCATTGAGTCAAAGCTGTTCTAATCAAACTCGCGTTATGCATAATGCTGTCTTCTCTCTCAGTGAATCGAAGGTTGGTTACTTCTAACGTCCGAATCATCGAAGTTTATTTCACGGTCATTTTTCGACTCCTACTTTTGTTTAAATGTAGCTTCAATAATCCTGAACGACGGATTAAAATCGCTGTTGTACGGATTTTGCAACACGCGAAAAAACTGAGCGCATTAGGTATTACCGACATCCGGGGTCTCCGCTTATTCGCATGCCCCCATTCCCGCCCGTTTCGACAATGAAACGAATACTGGGCTCCAAATTTTTTCGTGCCGTTCGGATGGCAGGTGATGGTGTTCCATGTCGAACCCCTCTATTGTGCCGAGGAATAATGGCCTCGACTTCCATTCTTCATGGGCGTACGTTGATTTGGTTTTTTTCTTACTTTTCTTTTTCATGTTTCTTCAAATGCTTCGCAGCCGCCGGCCCGTGTTTTACGGTTTTTTTTTTCGCTCTTCCAGGAGCCGAGATTCCTGGGGCGAGTGGTTATGAAAACAGTTTTACGACTTATTTCTCCCCCTTCCACTCCCCGTTCAATGGATGCCTGAAATGATAATGAGTCGAATTGTAGCGTCATGGATTTAATGTTCGGGCTAGAACATGATGATGTGGAATTGTTTCGAATCCTTTCGCCGTGGTCCCTGGGTTACGAAGAAGCCCTTTAGCGTAATGAATTCATTTGTGGATAGAAAAAATGCTGTACCTCTGTGATATCATAATGTCTGTACATTCTATGCGTTGGTAATCTACGCGCTGCGGTACGCTGTTTAAGCTTCTTGTCTTCTTATTCGAAAGTCGAAGAGAGTAGCGTTTAATTGGGGATTGATTTGTGAGGCCATCATTTCGAGAAATGCGAGCTTCATTTTGGAAGTTCCGTCAACATACTGAATTCTTTTAGTCTTGCATTAACGTATCTCATGGCAGATTCATTCGTCAGCATCCCCATTGCACGCATGCACCTGGGTCTCCTTGAAAGAACCCGATGATGGAAGACGTGACGGAATGTGTGAATGACTTGGTTGGAAATCTTTTTGACTTCGGTCTGCTGGCATGGTTCTTCGTGAGAAGTTATTTTCTCCTACCGGATGCTTGCCTCTTTTCAGTCGGTGGCCTTAAAGCTAGTTTTTTCGTAAAAGGGAAGGGAGTTATTGCGTTCTTCCTGTGGTCGGAACGATGGTAACTTCGGCAGCAATGTTCCGTAGCACCCGTTTGCCGGTACATGTGGATCGCGTGTCAAGATTAATGCACCCAGACCAAAAAATGAAAAGGGAACTCATGATTCGTTTTCTGAATGAAAGTTAGCCTTTGGAATGCAGAGCAAGTGAAGTACGGTAACCATTTCCACATCAGGGATCCCGTTCATGAGTCCAGTTTTTGCAATTTGTGAAAAAATATTCATGGAGGTTTCCTCCGTTCACCAGAGGATCGATATGTACGTGTTTTCTTGTTTTTGTTGTGTTTGGTTTATTCGATTTCTGTTCCCGTGTTTTCCTACATCGTGGAAAGGGATGAGCCTCCCTTGATTTTATCCGATAAATAAAGGAGGCGCGAGTCACTTCGGATTTAATGTAACGATTCTCAGTTGGATTTTCTCACGGTCGCTGACGCGTGATGCTTGTTTGAAGGACAATTTGTCGTGCGGTTCACTCTTGCTCGCGCTCTTTCGGGCCCGGGTAGAAGCGTCCGTCGCGGTGCTCTTAACAACGCGTCTGGCAACTCCGGAGTTCCGAACTGCGGCGTCAGGTGAAGGGAGTCCGGTCATTACAGCCGAGCCATTACATGAGTCTGGGGGCTGGGAGACGCCTAATATAAAGAGGTTAGGAGCAAGGAGGAAAAAACCTGGGGAGGTGGGGTAGTTGAATCGGTGCGGAGAGGGCGTCCGTGTGGAGAAAAATTACCAAGCTTAACCGCGGCATAGCTAATGACTAGAAGGAAGGCGGGCGGGTTCACAATTTCTGATCAGTCAGCATCAGCTTTGCTCAAGAGGGGTGCTTATGGTTACTGAGGAGGCGGTTTCCTTTTTGCTGCGCTTCATGCCTTCCGATCTTGATTGCGTTCTCTTATTTTTACTGTCCACTTTATTTGCGCAGTGACGCAGCTCTTCCAGTAAAATTTGATGCCTCATCACGGATTCTACTGTAAACTGACGGGATCGGTGCGGGGCAGATCGACGAGGGTTAATTTTTTCACCTTTGAGCTCCGGCCTCGCGCGTAATTGATCCCGTCGATGTATTTATTTCCGCTTAGTGTTTGCCTCAATTAATTCCTTTATTTGGGCTACAATCGCTGGCAATACTCCGCGTTCAACGTCGATAAAATAGATCATTTGATGTTCTGGCGCTGTCTCGGTACTTCAACGTAATTGAGGAATTTTGCAAGCACTCGCATCTAGATGTGGGCATTCGCTGTGAACGTTAAAATTTAAAATTTTTCTTGAAAAAACTTACTATGCCGTCGTTTTCCTCACACACACACACACATCTGCTTCTTTTGTCTTGGTAGCATTAGACCCGCGAATTTTATTTTATTTTATCTTTTAGTCCGTCTCCGGGAGTAAAGGAAAAAATCAAGTTCTGTTCTGCATGATTCTCATAGGACCTTCCTTTTACTGTAGGCATGAAAAATAACGATCAAGAGCTGTACCTACCTAGGCAGGAGGAAGCATTTTTCGTGATAGTGTCCTGAGTTCGAAAAATAACCCCCATGGAAAGGGTTACACTAAATTAGTTGAATTTTTTTCAGCCTCATGTTCGTAAAATATGCTCTATGCCTGTACTATTTCTGACATGACGTGACATAAGCTTATGGTGTATGACGCTTTCGCGTGATAAGAACACAATTTTAAATTTTACGCGATTTTAACCTTTACTGAATTGGAATCGCTCACAATATGTGACATCATCCTCGTTCTTGATGTACAGTATTAAATTAAGAATTCACGCGTTTTCATTCGGTTTTCCACCGCATGTTTACGTCAACCCTGGCCGGTTTTCATGTATATTTTACGTCCACTGTGGGAACGCGCTTCAGGTTAAATCCGTTCGCCTTGTAGTATTAAAGTGCATCTAAGCACATGGAATTGATTTTCTGCTCGCGAAAGAAGGAACGCATCAGCATTGAAGATGAGCTTAAAAATCAAGGTATTCGTGTAGTTTTTTTTAGAGGAAGCCGGTCATTTTCGAACGATACCGATTGCGAAAATTGAAAGTTTTGCGGGAAAATGAAAAGTCGGGTTATCTTGCGAAAGCGGAGACAGTTGAAAATCCGATTGTGGTAGACGCGCGTGCATTATCTGTTGTCGCCGGAAGCGCTCT